TGGGTACCTAATAGGTCCAGTGGATGTCCAGGGGCTTCGAGGTTGTCTGGGTGAAGTCCATCCGCGGCTGTCACCCATGGGGTGGCTTGCCCGTGGCAAACGATGCACCTGGGACCGCGCTGATCCCGTGCAAGCCAGCAGCCGCAGTATTCGCATCTGGTGTGGGGGCGGAAGAAGTCCCCGAACCTTATCATGTAGGACGCGCTGTTAATGGACCAGGGCCCTTCTGGCATGTCGCAACCCTCGAGGATGGGCCCTGTGATACCTGGGGCGTGAGGTCCTGCGCCGGGGATGGCGGGGGTCGCCCAGCCATCTTGCCCGGTGCCGTGCTGCGCAGAGGAGAGGACGTCCGCGCCAGCATCGGCCCAGTGCCCCCTACTGACTGCCCAGTGCCTGACCTCGTTGTTGTCCGGGAGGTGCACCACGTCGCGGCGGTGCTCGTGGATCAGGTAGCGGCACAGTCTGGCTTTGTGCTCTGAAGTAGAGCCGGCTAGGCTCGTGTCAGTTGCGTCGGGGGCGGCATCGTGGCGCCACCTGGAGAGTCCGAGAAGAGACGGCGGGAAGAGGTCCTCCGATGGATCCCCCACCCCGATGTCTGTATAGAGGGCAGCGTGGCGCAGTGCGTCCTACTCACTCTCGGACGCCATGAATTCTTTCTGCGTTGGTTCGTCGCAGCCCAAGCTTTCCGATTCAATTGTCGGGGTCCTGTGACAGGCTTGCGTAGCGGAATGCTAGTGCCTGTACTGGGTCAGGTCCTACCCCTCCGAGCCTGGCCTCATGGTCGGACCCTGTCATGGACCAAACCAGCCAGGAGAGGTCAAGCTCAGCCATTGCCGAGGCGCGGTTGTAACGCCTTCGTGGGGGTTCCTGCTCCGCTTGCACCGCGTGGCTGGGGCCTGCCCTGAGTGGGCATTCGAGGCCCCCTGCTTTGGAGAGGCCCCCACTGACGGCTGCGTGTCATGGGGGGTGGCGGAGCCAGCAGAAGCTTACTAGGCTCTCGAGACCAACGTTCATCGTTTGGTTACGGGGCGGACGCCTGGGGATATCTCTCCACGCCTTGGTTCATGGCGCCCCATGAGTGCCGCTAGTGCGCCGCCTCTCACGGCGCCCCTTGGGTCGACGACTCTCGGGGCCAAGAGAGGGGCATCGGTATCGCGGGATCCACAACGCCTGGGTTGTGGGGGGGGCCTGCGGTGAGCTGGGTCACCTCCGTGCCCAAGCCCAGCCACCCGCCCCCCCGTATTGAGCGACCTTGAGCCAGGCGGCGGAGCGGGGGGGGGGGCTAGGGGGAGGTGCGATCAAGCAACTGCGACCGCGAGCGGCTGATCTGTTGTCGATCTCGCTGGGATCCTCCCACTCGTGGGGCGCTTCGCTGTCGGGGGTGCTACCTCCGGGCTCGCGCTCTCGCGGGGGTCACTCCCATTCGACCTCGTCCCAATGCTGCTGCCCGTTGTTCACATCAAACCCAATTGCATGGAACGGCAGCGCGGGGAAAATCTCAACGTCTTCGGCCAGGCCCGTCGGGGGCAGTGGAGTCGGGAAGGGTGAGGAGGGAACATGGCGGGGGGAAGGGCGAGGATCAGGTGGGGGCTCCTCTCCGCCGTTGCTGGACAGATCCAACGGGTTTCTGGGCAGGGCGTTTTCTATGTCCTCGTGGGCGTCCCGCGCGCCCTCCGTGGGGGCTGGAGGGGCCCGTTCCTGCGGGGTCACACGATCGCTGCCTATCGTTGCCAGAACCACTCCTTGGCAGCCTATTGCTGTCAACATCGCTCCTCGGAGCCTTCCTGGGGAGCCTTCTGGGCGCCTATCGCTGTCCGCATCGCTCCTCGGCGTTGCACTCTGCATGGGGGCGCAGCCAAGAGCCGCAGTCACTGGTGAATCTCGATTAGGGTTGGGGGCGTGTCCCAGCGCCGCTGGACACGGATCCTGCACCGAAGGAGGAGGAGGAGGAGGAGGAGGAGGAGGAGGAGGAGGAGGAGGAGGAGGAGGAGGAGGAGGAGGGGGGGCGCAGCCAAGAGCCGCAGCAACTGGTGAATTGGAGGAGGAGGGGGATGAGGCGGCCCTCTGTGACGGTGCTGACTGGTCTGGGTCTTCTCTATTTGATCCCTCCATCGTTTCCTGCGGAGGCTCCTCAGTCACCGCGGGGGGGGCCTGTTCGCCTGTCCGGCTGGCGGGGGGTCTGCGCTGCCGCCTTCTGTGGATTCCGCTCGCCTTTCTCCAGGTGCATCCTCCACTGCCGTCTCCCGGTTCCTTAGAGGGACCTCATTCTCGGCCTCAGGGGGCTGGGTGGAACCTGTTGCTGGGGCCTCACGAGCACGGTCTGCCTCCCTGCGTGGGGAGGTGGGAGGCGTGGGCGGAATTGGGATCTGAGCGGGATCCAGGGCAACGCTAGGGAGAGATTCTCTCCCCTCTGTCTGGTTGTCTCCCTCCGCTGGACAGGGGACCACTGCGGCCGTCGCTGGCGTCGGCCCTGGTCAGCCGCGCCTGCTGGGGAGGGCCGCTGCCTGTGGGGGTTCTGGGGGTCGACTGACCGCAGTGGCTGGACTCCCACGCCATGCACTGCACGATCCCTATCCTCATCCCCTTCGTCAGGCTGATCCTCCATGGGTCTGAGCCGCGGGCTTCAGCAGCGCACCGTGCGAGCAGGTATCGCGGGCGAGTGCTGGTGAGGCAGTGGGGCCCAGGGGCGGGGGGCGCGGCGCGGCGTCTGGGCGCCCCCTTGAGCGCGGGAGACTGGCCCGAGGGAGCCAGGCCCGCAGACGGCTTGGGCCAAGGCTACGGGCTGATGGGGATGCGCGAAGCGTCAATAATTGGAGCTCCCCTCTTTTTTGATCGATGTCCTCCAAGATGGCCCCAAGAGCGCCCCCAAAGCTCCCAAGAGCAGACCAGGAGGACAATGGGGCGCCCAGACGGGCCCAAGAGGCGTCCAGGAAGCCTCCAAGGAGCTACTAAGAGACCCCCAAGAGACCTCAAGAGGATGCCCGAGGCACCCAAGACGCTCACAGACGGCGCAGGCGATGCAAGGTGAACTTAAATACCACCGCAGCACCCTGCAATTTCTAGCCTGGGCTGCGCAGAGATTAGCCGCAGCTGGGCAGTGGACGGTGGCGAGTTCGGTTGCCCCTCCTCGTATTGTCTCTCTTCCCGCTCCCCCGACCATCACCGTCACCGAGCATGAGGTTTGGGAAGCTGCTGACCGCAGCGAGTGGCGTTGCAGGCGGTGTGGCAAGTGTGCTCGTACAGCTTTGTCTCTTCGTGCCCTGCTGACAGGGGCCAACAGTCGTAAGTGTGAGCCCACGTCTGTCCAGCAACACGTGTGCGATCTCTGGTTTGCGGGCCCTGGGGCCGCTTCGTTCAGTCCGTTTCGGGCGGAGGCGGTGAAGGCTGCTCTGGGCCTCGCTGATTTGCTTCCCCCAGGAGCCGAAGGGCCCGAAAGGCAACCCACGCCTGAGAGTGGGACTAGTGATGTGCTTGCTCAGTTCACAGAGCTGGGGCATGACTGTTTTTCGTTTGCTGCGTTCGCGTGCAGACGTTGTGGGGCACATGGCGAGCTGGGCACTTTCCGTAAGTTGCTCACCGTGTGCCAACGACCTGCCACACACACGTCTACGCTTGCCAACCAGAGGCAGGCGGTCAGGCGTCTCGAGAGGGGGCTTCACCCAAGGACTGGTGTTAAGCTCGCGGAGGACACGTCGCCTGAGGCGCCGCTCTCCGCTCCTGGGCCCCCCGAGGACCCCAGGCCTCCGCCTCCGTGCTGATTCTTTCCCCCCCCCGTCGCTCGTCGTGTCGCCCGTCGTCCGCCCGCCGCCCGCCATCTCCAACTTCGCGGAGCTGCTGGTCGGGTACGACTGGGCTCCGACGGCTGCGGGGGGAGGGGCCTTAGAGTGTGGTTTGTCTTCTGAGGCCTTCTTGAACTGGACCCCCTGGTCGCCCTCACTGGCTTCCAGGGGGCACTGAGGTCCGTGCCTCCTGCTTGTCCACTGTCTCTTCCTCCTTCCTCCTCTTCGCCCTCCTCCTCCTCCTCCTCCTCCTCCTTCTTCTCCTCCTCCTTCTCCTCCACCATCCTCCCCCTCTTGGGGTATCGGATGGCTTCCCACGCCCTTTGTTCTTCTGCATGCTCCCCCACTTCCCTGATCACCTCCACTCCCTTTGGCATCTTTTCTGGATGGGCTGGTGGGGATACGCGAAGCGTCAACGATTCCCGCTTCGCTATCCTCTCGCCTCGCCCTGGCCTTACCCACAATCGGCTGTTGTTCAATCTCCTGCTTTTCATCCTCCGCCCTCTTGTCCGCCATTGCAGGGGGGTCCATCATGGGCAGGTTCGTGTCGTGACACCTTGCGCCGCTGGCTTCTGACACCACTTGGGGTGGATCGTTCAGCCTTGGGCGATCGTAGCTCTCCGCTAGCGCCTTGTTCGATGTCGTCCGGCTGTGGGCCACAGGCGGCCGTCAACCTTGCACGCCCGTGCCAGCGTCGCCGTTGCGTCGCGTCGACACGACGACACGATCATACCGCAAGGAAAAATGACTCTGCGAGCGAATGGCCAGGGGGTCACCAGGCGACACTCCTTGCCCGGCCCAGGACGCACACGGAGGCCGAGCGCGCGTGCGACAGATGCCGCACCAGGTGTGCGGCAGGAACTCTTGCCCGGCGTGTCGCAGCGGCGGCCCAGCAGGCGACACGCAGGGCCCCGCGAGTGGACGGCGTCTCGCTCCGCTCCGCGTGATGGGCGGCTGGGAGGGACGCGAGACGCTGCCGCTCGGGGACTGGGTCGTGGAGCGAGTGCCGCGCCGGAGCGCGGCGGGCCAGGACCGGCGGCGCGACGCGCGGAGCAGGCGCTCCCGAGCGCTGTTGTCGAAGGAAGCGCTTGCGTGCCAGATCTGCTCCACCACAATGACCGCAGGATCCACGGAGCGGGCTGGGAGCAGGCGCCCATCAGGAGGAGGGCGAGGGAGGGGGCGGGAGCCCGGCGGCGTGCCCGCGGCGCCCCGGGGTCCCGCCTTTGGCGTGGAGAAGGGCGAGCTCTCGACCGAACGCTCCTTCTTCGGCGTGGAGAGGGGCGACTTCTCGATCGGCTCGAAAAGCGCGGAGAAGGGCGAGATCTCGATCGGCTTCAAGATTGACTCCTCGCGCCCTGGCTTGACGTACCTGCTCCCGTCCTCCTCCTCCTCCCTCCTCCTCCTCCGCCTCCTCCTCCTCCGCCTCCTCCTCCTCCGCCTCCTCCTCCTCCTCCCCCACCCTCCTCCTCCTGCTCCTCCTCCTCCCGCTCCCCTCCCTCTGCCTTCCCACCCCCATGCATCCACCTTCTGTCTAAAGGGCCCATCCCTGTCGCACTTCGAATTTGTAGGGCGAGCAGAGCGTTTCGCCTGAGACTTCCTCGCAACGTATGACCCCTACGCTTGAAATGTGCAACAGCTTCAAGAATGGAGGGCAGGTCCGTTTCAGATGTGGCTCTGGCCTTAGCGCCGAGCACCTTCGCCTTGAAAACTTCCAGGGTGGAGCGCGGCCCCTTTCCAGACTGTGGCTCTCGCCTCAGCGCCGCAAACACGGGTTTAAAAAGTTAGCATCCAGTGCGGGCGCGGGCGCAAAAAACCCTCGCAAGAAACCCAACCCTGAAAACCCGCGCGCGAGGTGCAACTGAGGGGAAACCAGGAGCACCCCGAACGCAACAGCTCTTTCAACGGCCGCGGGAAGCCACCGCGCATCGCGCGGAGCGAAGGAACCCAGGGCACCATGACGGAAAATAGATGGCTTCTGGATGCGCGCCCCCACTGTACTTCAAGGAACGAGGACGGTTCCTGTTCAAACTGCGGTGCTCGTCCTAGCGCCGCGCACGCTCGTCTTAAAAAGGTTGCAGCACCCTCACGGATGGAAGGTGGCTCCTTCTCGAAGTGCGGCTCCCTTGGAGCGCCGGACCAAATTTCGTCTTAAAAGTGTGCAGCGGCTTCCAGGATGGAGGGCGACTGGTGTCCATAGTGTGGTTATCGCCCCTAGCGCCCCACACTCGCGTGTCAAAATGGCGCGACAGCTTCAAACATTCAGGGCGATTGGTTTTCCAAACGTGGCTCTCGCGTGAGCGTCGCGCACATTCGTCTTGACATAATGCAGCAGCTTCAAGGATATAGGACGGTTAGTATTCAGAATGTGGCTCTCGCCTCAGCGCCTTTTTTTTGACATCCACGTCAACACCTCCACATCCTCGGGTGAGGTCCTCGGACCAGAGCCAGCAGCGGAAGGGGATGCTGGTTCCCTGACACAGACCGCATCGTCTGAGTCGTCAGCGCAAGTGAAACCAGCTCGGAGACCAAAAGGGGGCCTCTTCGTCCTGACGTTCCATCTAAGAACGCACCTGCCACAGCATCTCTAGGAGAGGGGGCAGGCACACACGGCAACAGAACGGACGCCGAGCTGCAAGCGCAGAGACAAAGCCAATTGCAGGGGTCCTGCAAATGGAACAACAGCTCGGACCGACTGCCCTCGGCTGCGCAAGAGGACCGACGGTCAAAAACCACACCCCTCCACGAGCGCCGTGTCTACCCCCCGAGGAGGGTGCCTGAGACGAGAGGCGCGCGGGGCGCACACGCACACGATGCGGCCGCAAGACGCAAAAAAGGAGGGGAGATGTTGGGGCCAGGAGCGCCAGGCTCCTGGCCGCGGCAACACCTTACCCGAGCCACTGTCGGGATGGGGCTACCCCCGTGCTCGGAGAACGAAGAAGTGCACCCTAGATGTGCTCGCGCCGTCCCCCTGAAGCGGGGCGCCTGACACGCGTGCAAGACGGACGCGCACATGCACGAGACTGCGCTCTAAAGAAAAAACCAAATAAACTAAACGACCACCCGCACAAGGACGACGAGGCCCGCAGCCCCTGGTGCAGCCAGCGCCAGGACGACCGCCGACCTCGCCCCAGACGTGGGGTAAAGCACGGATGCCTGCCGAAAGGGTCAGACGCATCGGGCCGCGCTGGCATGAACGAAAAGAGAAAGGCGTAACCTACGCCAGAAGAAGACCGACCACCCACGCAAGGACGACGAGGCCAGCAGCCCCTGGTGCAACCAGCGCCAGGACGACTGCCAACCTCGCCCCAAATGTGGGGCACAGCGCGGATGCCTGCCAAAAGGGTCAGACGCATCGGGCCGTGCTAGAGAGAAATAAGAATGAGACGTCCCTTGAGCCTAAGAAGCTTAATCAGAACTGTCCGACTCATCCTGTCGTCGCCTCGCCAGGAAAAAAGGATTGTCCCGCCGCAGCTCTTGATGGGGGCCCTGCCTCAACTCCTGCTGACGGGCCTCATCCCCAGGCGCAGTAAGATCAGCACCAGAAACACAAGCTGCTGGACCGAAAAGGAATCTAGACGCTTCCTCCTCAGCAACGAAGAGATTATCCCAATTCTCCGCGCCGTCCCGCCCAGGCCCCACCCCCCGCCCCACGCCAGAGGAGAAAGATGGAGGAGATCTGGCCAGGAGGCCGGCAGACACCACTGTGCCGCGCTCTTTAGAAAGGGGGCGTTCCCCCTCATATACCCTTGGGGACCCACAGGGCACCAGTGGGCTGGGGCCCGGGGGGTCCGCAGCCCCAGAAATAGGCTGCACCAGGGGCTGAAAATCTACCTGCTCATCGAAGCCTGGCCTGTTGAAACATTCCACAAACGAGTCAACGTCCACAGAAACGCCGAGCTTCCGACGAGTGTAGTGAGGGTGCTTGCCTTTACAAAGCTGAACCCAAACCAGTCTGCCAGCTCGGGCCGGGGGAACGCAGCGCTCAGCCAAACCTCTGACTTTTCCTCCAGGCGAGTAGCTCTTGCAACGCAAGCACATACATAAAAAACGACTGGTCCGAGCAATCAAAGGCCAAGGTCTTGTGGCCAAGGCGGTCCTGGCGGGCAGCGTGAAGCTTGCTGTCCAGAGGGCAACGACCTTGGGTGGGGGGGGGCCAGGGCCCGACGTCCTTTGAGACAAAACGAGCACCTCCAAATACCAGCCCAGCGAGCCCAACGATGGCCAGCAGCGGCGCTGGCTGTAGAGGAAGGTGGCTGGAGCCGTTCGACAGAAGACAAATCTACCGAGGGCTACAAATGAAGTACCGCACTGGCAACTTTAAGAGTAGCCTTCGCAAACTTGACCTGGCGATCAGCATCCTGGAGCAAGCCATCATCAGTAGGGTGCTGGAGAAGGGCCATTTTTGCCCCTACATCAGCGAAATCGTTGCCAATGCGACGCCACCTCTCAGTAGCGTCAATGGCAGGGTCTTCAATGTCCTGGTGGGCAGCGACTTTCGAGCAACCCGAAACCGAGGAACACTGACCATGGCACTGCAAGAAGGCACCAGCATACATCTTTTTGCCCGACAGTTGCTCAAGCTTCGAACGACCAGCCAGCCGAACAACATTAAGGCAACCGGAATAAACATGACAATCCGAGCGATTCGTAGCCAAAACGCTGGCCCACGTGAGCGCACTGAACTCAGCGCTCTGAAGGGTCTGAGGGCAAGGGCTCCAGACAGGGGCTCTAAACTCATTCACAAGAGTCCCCTCGGAGTCAACCATACAGACCGAGCTGGCAGCACGCGTGAGCTCCCGAACGGCATGGCGAGCACAGGACCCGTCAACAAACAAAGCGCCCCAGACACGGTTGGTAATGGGCCCACCATCTGGGGCAGAGTCAGGAGGGACATGCCACGTGAGGAACAGACCATCATCAGACTCCACGGCAGGCCCGGGGTAACCGTCGGCGGGGTGCCGAAAGGCTCCAGAAAGAAAGACGAAGTAGTCTTCGAAGTCCCCAGAAGCCTTAGCGGCAAGCGCAACATCATAGATCTCCTGCTTCACAGCCTCCAAACGGGCCTCCAGAACCTCAGTATGCTGGCACTCCCACAAACGGTGGAAGACGGTGTCACGGGCGCCGCAGAAGGCACAGTCGGGAGAGATGCAGTATCCTAAGGCCTCCGCCTTGGCAGCCGTGAAAAAGGCCTCGGTGGCGAAAGCCCGAATCCTGGCCTTCTGCAGGGCCGTGTACTTTTTGGAACTGGGCGACGCAGCCTGGCGAACCACGTCGTAGCAAATCCTAGAAGGGATCCCTCGTTTGGCCGCAGAGTCACGCTCAAGCATGCGGAAATACCCCTCTCGGACCAGGGACCTGACCAAAGCAAGGAGAAACAAACCCAGGGGAATAAACCGACCGAAGCCATCAACCAGGATCATGAAATCCCTCATCTGCCAGCCCAGACGCACGAGGGACATACGGAGGGCCGTGACAGGCCCAGACACAAGCCGCCAGGAAGACCTATCCAGAGAAAACACCGATCTCCCGGCCGCGTTAAGGGACGGAAGACTGAGGGACCAGGGATATGACGCAGTTTGACTTATCCAGGCCTCCTTGCTCCACCTGGTGATCGGGGCAGTCGCGGCGCGCCAAGTCGGATCTCCGTCCAACCGCGCACACGTAGTAAGAGACCTCAGCTGGCTGCGAGGACGCACTACAGAAAAAACCTGCGGCGTAGCAAGCTAAGGTCGTGATCACTTATGCCCGTAACCTCAGTGGCGTACGCGGCCCCAGCTAAGGGGCCAGCCGAATAAACTCGAAGGATGGCAGCTCTAGGTATCACCTTAGCTTGCTTGCCGAGGCGGCGCGCAGCACGGGCAGACTTCGCCAAGCGAGACTCCATCTTGGCAGACTTGCCAGCAACGCGAAGAGCCCTGCCCGCAGCGTAGTCGACCCCGAGGTTGACCGCGGACGGCGAGCAATTTTGACAAAGGTGGCTGAGCTGCTCAAGGACCTGGGACCCCACAGCCTTGGAACTGGCAACCAGGGCCGTCTTGTCGAGGGCGAACGAACAACCGAATTCTTGTTGCACGACCTGGTCGAGAACTGTAGCTCCAGAAACGATGGAAGAGACGACAAACCGAGACTTCCCCGTGCCCGAAAGCCCCTGGTCGTCTATATAAACGTCCAGGTCTGTGCCCATGGGCAGCGGAATCGAATCGTACCCTTCAGCACAGTAAAAGCCCGCGATAACCCCGTTGATGCAGAAGTAGGGCCCGTCGAGCCACCCCCCAAGACTCAAGAATCTGCCACAGCGACAAGCATATATGCACAGTCTGGCGACGACCGAGGGAAGGCCAAGCCTGTCACACCGATAATCAAGTTTGG